AGACAAAATAATCAAAAAAGAGAAATTTTATGAGAATTTACACATTAAAAACACGATTACAAAAAAAAGTTATTTTTAAATAAATGGGAATTTTCTTATTTTCCCCAGAACATGTAGCGTGAACATTTATTTTCATTAAATCTGGGTTTTCATGAAAAATCCACAATTTTTAAATTTATTTTTTAACGTTTTTATTAAAATTAAAGAACAAAAACACAGAATCGTTCTGTAGAACACATCTGTGAGAGAAAAATATGACGCGAAAATTAAATCACTGAATTGTTCAACAGAACGATTCTGTGAAGAACACAGTTTTGAATAGAAAAAAGAATTTCAAATTTTTCTGCGTGAGCACAGTATTTTTCAAAAAATTCGATTTGAAACTCCCTCTTATATATCAAAAATTTTCCCACTGATAAAATGTTGGTGATATTATGATGAAAAATTCGGCAGTTGACATATATTTGATATCTTTTGTAGGAACCGAGATAACAAGCTCAAAGTGAACGTATAGGGCGTTTTCTATTTGTACAAATACAGTACTTTAAAAGTCCAATAGAGCAGCCTTGCACAGTTCTCATATTTCAGCTGGACCTATATGACTGATGAGGACGATATTGGATTCGAAATTCATTATGACAAAACTGGAGCTTGCGATAAGCTAACTGAAATGGAAACTGTCTATCCGTACATCCGTTTGGAGTGTACCAATGTTCCAATCACAGGACATTTGGATGTCACTGATCTTGGAAATTGTGAGTTTTAAAAGGATTACTGTAATTTTCTGAAAGGATTAGTGCACGTATTTTAATTGCATCAAAAAAGATTACGGTATTTTTTGATGCAATTCTTCAATGGATGACTGTAGTTGTTGAGCTGCCGTATCTGCTCAAATAGAACCCCATTCTGTACGTGCACGTTGTGCTAAATTATCTATGTTCCTTTAATAGACAACAAAAATTTGTCAACTGATAAAATGTTGGAGCTATCATGATAAACACTTGAACAGTTGACAAATTTTCAGTATCACAAGAACCGAGATAATTGAGATCCAAATTAGGTACAGTACTGGCCATAAAGAATGCGACAACTGTTTTTTGACGATAACTTTTTGAAAACTCAACTTTTCAACTCGAATTTTTTACTGTAGACACATTGGAAAGTTACGAAAACTTGCGTACTTGGAAATTGCATCATCTTGCAAACAAAATTTTTTTTCAATTGTTTTCTTTTTTTTTTTCATTTTGCATATTTTTCATGATTTTTGGTTTTTTTAAATAAAGTTGAAAGACAACTAATTGGAATTAGTTTTAGTTATTGTTTTATTGTTTTTCAGATATGGTTAGACCATTCGGGAAAAAATCCTTCTCTGTGGACGAGCGAAAAAGCATTGTGCGTGGTCATGAACTCGGCGCGCATCCGAAGATACTTGCAACTCAGTTTAGTTGTTCTTCCAGCCAAATTTACCGTATTCTGAAGAAAAATCGAGATGATGTGAGGTTTCAATCAGCTTTCTCAACTAAATTTAACAATTTAGAATGGCGTTGTTCATCGCCAATCTCCAGGAAGACCCCGAACCACTTCCAGAAATATGGATCGGAACATTTTGCGCGCATGCCGAGAAGATCCTAGACGCACATCTACGGATATTCAACTTTCTGTGACGTCTCCAAATGAACCGGTACCATCGAGAAGAACTATTAGAAGACGTTTGCAAGTTGCTGGACTGCACGGGCGAAGACCAGTCAAAAAACCACTCGTCAGTTTGAAAAACCGAAAAGCTCGCGTTGAATGGGCTAAACAGCACTTGTCCTGGGGCCCCCGTGAGTGGGCAAATCACATCTGGAGCGATGAATCGAAGTTCAATATGTTCGGAACTGATGGTATTCAGTGGATTCGACGTCCCATTGGCTCCAGGTATGCTCCACAGTACCAATGTCCAACTGTGAAACATGGAGGTGGATCTGTGATGGTTTGGGGATGCTTCTCCGACACTTCTATGGGACCATTGAAGAGAATCGTTGGAACCATGGATCGATATGTGTACGAAGACATCCTGGAGAACACAATGAGACCATGGGCAAGAGCAAATTTGGGCCGATCGTGGGTGTTCCAACAGGATAATGACCCGAAGCATACTTCGGGTCATGTCGCCAATTGGTTCAGACGTCACCGTGTGAACCTCCTAGAATGGCCAAGTCAATCTCCAGACTTGAATCCCATCGAGCATATGTGGGAGGAGCTGGAACGCCGCCTCAAAGGAGTCAGAGCATCCAATGCCAATCAAAAGTTTGCTCAACTCGAAGCTGCTTGGAAGAGTATCCCGATGACGGTGGTTCAGACGCTCCTGGAGTCGATGCCACGTAGATGCAAGGCTGTTATCGATGCGAAAGGATACCCAACGAAATATTAAATCACTTTTTATTGTTACCTTTATTTTGTTTTTGACCTCCGGTGTTTCTTGAGCTTCTTTGTATAGATCTCCAAAAATGTCATTTTCATGAATTTTCGAAAAAAAATAATTTTCAAAAAAATTGTAGCAGAATATTAAAACCAACTTAGCCTAAAAGTTTATGATAGTGCTGAAAAAATCTTACCAAAAATTCGGATTGAAAAGTTGAGTTTTCAAAAAGTTATCTTCAAAAAACAAGTTGTCGCATTCTTTATGGCCAGTACTGTATCTCAAAAACGGTATATCCAAATTTCCCAATTCCAGATGTCCTTGAATTTGACAACTACTACTCGTGGTTCTCAGCTAAACAACTTCGCTACAACATCGAAATTGAGGATTTGTAAAAAAACTAAGATGATAATTATGTATAATTATTTAAGCAACTGGTTTTATTTTTCTACATTTAAATAAAAATTGGCTTTTCTAGTTTTTGGTTTGCAAGTCAGGAAGCATGGAAAACTTGTACTTCGGCAATGTAAAATTTTCGAGTTCTCAAAACAGTAACAAGTAAAACACTCAAGAAAAACATGAAACTCGTGAAATGATTGGGAAAAACTTTTAACAAATCAATTTTAATTTATTTTTTAAATTCCATCTTCCCACTCAAAAACGGAAGTTTCAGGCTATTTTTTGTTATCGATTTTCAACTTTTTTTGGTCTGAATAAAATTTCGATTTTTTATTTCAAATTACTTCCATAATTCGCGGAAGTTTCTAGACCTTTTCATGCTTTTCATCTATTTAAAGACAGAACTTTCTGTTTTTTTCCGGCTTCTTTTGTTTGCAGTTCGACCGGATGGTTTTCGTGAAGATTACTGTAGATTACTGTAGAAAAAAACATTCTTGTATACTGTAGAAAACATTCACGTCAAAACGCGGAAAAAATTTCAGAAACGATATTTTTTTCAAATTGCAAGAGATCGTTTGTTACAGTAATCTACAGTAATCTTTACGAACACTGTTTCGTCGATTTGCAGACAAAAACCTCGGGAAAATCCAACAATAATTTTTGAAATATTAGCTAACTGAAAAACCTAAAAAAAGGTCTTTAAACTTTGCGGAAATAATCTGAAAATTGATTCTCAGCTAACAAAAAACAGCCTGAAATTTACGTTTTTAAGTGGAAAATAGGAGTTTTGAAATCAAGAAAGAAAGGATTTCAACCAGATTTTAAGTCATTTCAGTCTGAAAAAAATGCACTTTCCGAGTTTTCAACTAGAAAAACCAAAAAACCATTTATATAAAAAAAGGGGGTTCACATTTTGAATTGAAAAACATTAAAGTCTAGAACACAGATCTTGGCTGACTGGGTTATTGAAAATTGGACATATTACCAAGTTGTATGTTTTCCTTTTCAAATTATATATTTCGCTATCAGTTTTCCCATTTGAAAAAAATCAGGAGGGCTTGTGAACCTGTCTATTCTGAGCCTGGTTTTCTCATTTCAATGATACCGATCAGAACAACGACAAAACGATTGATGACGTGGCAAACGACCCAAAAGAACCGGTTCTGTGGTTTCAGGTGACAAGGTGCAGCCGGAAACCGGCGGACAACGGACATATCTGGTTCTCACCTCGTTTCTCAAGATGGATGGCCACTGATAGGCAAACAGTCTCCGCATATATCATCCCGGCAGCAACCAGAGCTGCGCGGATAGTCCGTGTCTTTTGCCCGCCTATTTTTCCTTTTTGTCCGTTGTCCCTTGCCCAAACAAAACATTTCGCTGCCCCTTCATCTCTGGCGGGAATCAAATCTGACCATACTCGAGATGGTAAACACATTCAAATGAATCAAGCAATAACTACCTTGAGCCCGATGCATGTCTTCTTTATTTACTTCCTCTCACCGCTCCGTTGAATGACTTTTCCTTATGACAATTTAGAGAGATTTCCCAAAAATGAAATTTAGAAAATTGATAGGCGAACTAAATTATTCTCCAATTTACTAATTCTTGTTATTTGGATACAAACTCTTATAAAGTTTTTATTCCATTCAAAACTCTGCTCAAAATAGTTTCTTATATCTGTCGATTTCGGATCACTAATTTTTTTTTCTGTCGTTTAACTCATTTGGATACTAAACTCTTGTTTTTAGGGGATCTAACTATGTCTGAACCTTAGGGAACATAGGGCATTCCCAGAAGACAAGTCAATCCAAAAACCCCACCTATAATTGTAGGGTTGATTCCTGTGGGAAAGTATGTGTTAACCAGTCAAGGCCCAGACCTGCACTCCCCATTTTGGATTATCTCCCGCCTCATAATATGACCCCTTCTTTCTTTCCTTCACCGTGCTCTATTGGAAATGCATGAACTGTCGGTTTTCCGCCCATTTTTGGCTGTACCTTGACTCGTTTTTTTGGTCATTTGCCAGCTCATAAGATATACCTTCTCTTTTTATTCACTCTCTATTTCGATCGCCTATCGCTGTTTTTGCCATTTTTGTTTCTCTAAAATCTTTCAAGTGTGTTTTTCAGAACAACTCAAAATGCGTCTACTCAAATATCCGTATCTGGTCCAGCGAGAGATTCTTGAAAACATGGAGTATCCCGATCTATTTATGCTCTCCTTCGTCTCTAAGAATACGAAGAAATTAATCAAATCGACTCAGATGAACAGATTCAAAATGATAAGCTCAATCAAGTATGACACGGATAGAACTGATCAACCATATGTGTATATTGCCCACGAGAACTCTAATGACCAGATAATGAGAATAGTCGAGGACAAGGAGACGAAAAAAGACGATTTTCAGCTGAGCATCTCTGGAAAGACGATTAATTTTCGGTAAGCCCCATGGATGAATAATTAAAAGCTGTTATGTATTTCAGACTCCAAGAAGATGATCGTAATTCACGGTTGGAATTACCCGAACGTTTCTTTTCACCGTACCCTGTAATCACTTACAAACAATGTGACAAGGAATCTGTAATAAAATCCATTCACGACTATTTGCTGGATTTTTTCGGAACGTCTGTGAAGTATCTTTGGCAAGCACAAGACTTCAAGGACACTGATTTTTATATTCCATTTGTTTCTCAACTTCAAAACGTTTCATTCTGTATTGATTTGTGGCTTGGCTGGAACTTTGAGGAGATGGCAAGACTTGAAAACTTTTTTGCCTTATCTCCAATTTTGAAATCGATTCAAATGTATGCTCGGACGACATCGCAGCCATTCAACCCGAAATCAAAGTTTTATCAAGCCGAATCTGTTGAAATCGATCAATACCAACACACTGTTCCGGATATTTTGGGCCGATTCCAAGGAAGACAAGCATTTATAAGATGCGCTGAATGCAAGAGATCCGCTTTGATTGAGTTCATGAATCGATGGAAATCAGGAGAGGAATTTCAAAATTTGGAATACTTGAAAATCGAAATATTCGGCGGCGAAGTCCTTCAAAATCAAATTTTGAATGCAATTGAAGCAAAACAGCTTGATGCGACTAAACAACCACCAACACACAACGTGCCCAAAGTGTGAGTTAATTTTTTTCAATATTTCGAAAATCTGGCTATCAGAAGACCACCCTATTGGAGCTCCATTATCTCGGTTCTTGTAAGAGATATCGGAAATTTGTCAACAGATAAAATAGTGTTGGTATTATGATAAATATTTTATCAGTTGAAAACGTATTGATATCTTTCAAAGGAGCGGAGATAATTGAAGTCAAACTTGACAGCAGTGTGGGGCCCTTCTATTACGGTGTTACGTTCCTCTTTTTGATTATCTCTAAAGTCATCATTTTTCAGATACAATTGGTATAATCGAAATCCCAAGACGGACCCAATCATCAGTCACTCGTACATCGTTAGACAGACTGATAATCGTGTAGCTACTGTTCTGATACAATGGAATACACTCACTTTTGGAGTATGGGATGCAACCGAGGAGCAGTTTTTGGGAATGGTGAATTAGCTATTGATAGAATGGTTTTCGAAAAGCTAGCTAACTTCATTAATTCTGTCTATTCCTTTTCATTCTTCACTCAACGATCTTTTATCTCTCCTACTTTGCCCGCCCCTTTTTATCGCATTCTTATCTCAAAAAAAAAAATACCAACTGAAAATTTCGCCGAAGCCCCCCCCCCTTGCAAACGATACCGTACGAAGCGAAATTTAACTCCGAAAAATAGAATCTCTATAATCTGTACTTCACCGAAAAGCCAAACCTTGTCTCCCTGTCATTTTTCACCCAACGATCTGCTATGCCTTCTACTTCGCCCCGCTCCTTCTGCCCCTTTTTTGAAAATGTGTAAAAAAATTGAATTAATAAAAAATAAAATTAAGTTATACAACTGGTTTCTCTTCTACTACCATATTTTTTAACAGTGAAAATTGGCTTCTAGCTTTTGGTTTGCAAGTTTGGAGTGTAAAACTCCCAAAACAAAAACCGGTATGATTGAGAACTTTCAGAGCTCGAGAGCTCCAAATTAAAAAAATTTAGTTTTTTATAAACTGTAAATTGTAGATTTTTGATTTAGAAAATCAGTTTCCCCAAATTTCAAATGTCTTCTTCAATTGTCCCCAAATTTTTTAGACCTTTTCAGGTTTTTGTACAATTCTACGGGACGGTTTTTGTAAAGATTACTGTTAATTACTGTAGACCCCCTTCTCATTGGAGCGCATCTGCACACCACAGTAGGTCAAATCGTAATTATTAAATATAGGTCAGGTACGCCCGTAAAGCGTGAACTTTGGATATAACAGATTTCCAGATTTTCCAGATTTTCCACTAGAAGCCCTCAAGAAGAACTATTCTGAAAATCATCAATATTTCTGAAAACCAGTATGACGCATTTTCAAATTCTAATCATCCTCCTCCTCGCTGTGCCATTTGCTTCCTGTAACCCACATTTGGAAGAACCAGTTTACAAAGCAGTAAATACAACAGAAATCAAGTATTTGGGTGAGTGAGAAATAGAGCGAACTAGTAACCCGATCAAATTTGAATATTCAGTTCACAAATACCAACCAACATTCGCTCCGTGTAAATACGGCGCTCAATTTGGTTTCGACCAGCCATTTGCTGTTTCTGATCCGCATGGTAGTTTCAATGTACCCAGAAAGTGTTGTGAGAAGTGTGAAATACTGCATACAACGCTTACAAATGGTGTTGAAGCTACGTTTTGTTGTCTGCCAAGTACTCCAGTAAGACATGGAAAAGGAGCATATACATTTGGTGGCTCAAAGTGAGATTATTTTCAAGGTCCATCGAAAATCGGCGACCACCGACCGGACAGAAGTCGCACCTTTGTGTTTTTAAATATCCCAGAGAGCGTTTGCGTACGTAGTTTTTCGATTTTTTGAATCACGTACGCAAACACTTACTGTTGACGCGCGAATGAACGGTCGGCGGTCGCCAATTTTCGACCGACACTTCGGTCGTCTAAACAGCTACATAAAACAAATTTCAGTGGGAATGATCCACTTGTCATTTTGACGAATCCACTGAGCATTGTATTTGACCGAATCGTTCCACCCGACTTGAAAGAGAAAGATTACCGAACGTGGCACAACGAAGGAAAGCCGACCCGACTTGGAGCTGGAGCGTACGCTTATGCATTTCTTGGAATAGCCACGTGTCAGACTGTCGTCCTGATCCTTGTCGTCGTCTTCTACTACGTGTCACACCAACGAATCACTCTGGAGACCATCGCCGACTGCGACTACGAAATTGAGCAGGAGGTGAAGGTTTTCAATCCGTCGAAGAGTGCAATGATGTCGGAAAATATGAATTCCGATTTGATGTCAATGTCTCAAGCAGCAGTTTAGAGAACTAGAAAGATTGTATAAAGATCAATTGAAAGTAAACAAGCAATTTATCATTATATCAGTACATGTGACATGTTATTTGATTTCTTTACTTCGTTTTCGCCGTAACCTATTTGTAATCAAGACGACTTATCACACACTATATCAGCTGAGAGTAATACAGAAATGTCAAATTTCAAATTATTTTAATCATTTACAAGTTGTTCAGTATTCACATGGATTGGCTCTGCGCCCTTTTTTCAGGCACGATTTCTAAACAAGATTCTCTCACGGAGTGGCATGCGTGGCGCTTCAAAGTAGAGCTCGTCGATGAGCAGATCGTCCGGCTCGAATTGCCATTCGGCGGAGATGATCTGGAAAATTTGAACTTGTTTCTAGATGTCCAAAAAAGAAAAAAATCTTTGGTATATGAGATATTGTATTTGGACTACTAAACGGGGTGGTTGGGGGACGTGTTCGGATGGCTGGTGTGAGAAGAATACACGTAATAACACAAAATCATTTGTGTGGGGAGAAAAATAGAGGAGGGGAGCTTACAGTGCATGATTTGATGAGGTAATCGTACATCTGACAAAATATAGGCAACATCCACACAGACATTCTCAGTCAGTCTATGGAGAATGGGGCGCAGGTGATGATGATACTGGAGAACAGGTCAAGTCGAGGTGGTGTAATGGAAGGGGAAGAAAAAAAAAACAAAAAAAGAAAAAGATTGAATAGCAAGACAACAGATGCCATCATCGCCAGCCTATCACTTGCTTTCTATATCAAAAAATTTGTGAGGGTGGGAGGGAGGAAAGGAGGGCAAAGGTCTGACACAAAAGCAAATATAATCGAGAAATTGTATTGTGCCAGAGCTATTTGACATGAAAGGAATTTTATAGATATAAATTTATGTATGTGAGATGTATTTTAGAAGGAAAGTTACTGTTCGGTTTGCTGACGGACCAAGAGGCTAGTCGTCCAGGTGGTCAACTCGGCGATTCGTTGGCGGGCCTCGTTCAGAACCTCATCGCGAACCTTGTAGACGTCTTCGGCTTCCGACAGGTTTGTCTTCAGCTTCTCCAAGTAGTCAACGGTGGATTCGATTCGGGTTCCGTCTCCGAAAACCTGAACGAGGAAAAAGGATTATTTAAAAAATCCGAAAATGTCTCCTCACATTTTGTCCCTTCTCACGCAACGCCTTCAACTGTGTAGCCAACTGTTCGGAACTCTGTTGAATGTGTTTCATCAGCATCTCTTCTGGAGCCACCTTATATTGATTGGCCTCTTCTTCCATCTTGTTCTTGAAGTCCACTACCGATTGGGAGAGCTCGTTGGTTCTCTCGACGACCCACGTCTTCTTCTCACGGATGACATCCAGCAAGACAAATGATTGACTGAGTTGCTCGAGATAGGCGCGAGTTCTCTCGTTGATCGGATCGATGACGTGATCGTGAGCCTTAAAAAACTAGACGGATTTTAGAAATTCAACGGCGCTTCTCGATTACCTTGTTGTTGACGCCTTGAACGATCAGCGAAGCCAGATTTTTGACTCTTTGAGTGATGGTCAGGTTGATAGATGGTGGCACTTCAATATTGAGTCCCTTTTGGACGGCACCATCAAGGATATCAAGAAGTGAGTTGGTGTTCTCTTGCACCTTTTCAACTGGAACCATTGCGATGCGTTGCGCTTGATGAAGAGCAGAGTAGATTCTATGCTCAACGGCAAGCTCTGCTTCCTTAATACTGGAGATGGCGCTGGTTCCGAGCTTCTTTGCGTTGTCAACTTGATCGAGAACAAGAGCTGCACCACCGGCGCTCAAAGCCAATGAGAATTGTGTGAGAACGACTGCTGCTCCGATTCCAAACGTTCCAGTGACAATGGCGGCTTGCTTTCCGGTTTCAACAGCGCTCTTGGCTCTCTCAGTTCCATAGGACACAGCTTCATAAGCGGTGTTCTTTGGTTTCACGTAGTACGAATTATATCCGTCGTATGCTTTTTGTGTCGCATAGTTGCTGACTTTCGTCACATTCTCCTCGGCGGCGGTGAATGTCGAGTTGATCAGTGGATGGAACTCTTTGGTCTTTGTGTATGCATTGATAGCCTGAAAAATATAAAAATAGACATGTTGGTGATAAAAGTACAAGCCAAGCGACCTACCGTCTGAACGTAGGCATTCTCGAGCAACTGGTCGTAATAGCTCTGTACTTGGGCTTGTTGGTCCTCGACCTTGGCGGATTGTTCGACCTCAGCCATTGTTTTTTTCTGGAATATTAGAGATGTCGATGCAAAAGCAGAAATGAATTGAGGTGTTCTTCTCGAAAACATAGAGAATGGAGAGAGAAATAGTGGAATTGGAGACTACTCAGCTACTATTTGTACCCTCCCGAGCGTACTTTGCCCCTTGTGAACAGATGATGGGGTGACTCAGTTTCGCAATAGTTTATTGAGGGTATCCGCGCTACGAAACTACATTGTAGCTTTCGAGGATCGTGTAATTACGCGTATACATTGAGAACCTAGAAAAACCAAGGAAAAGTCCAGAAAACAGTGGGCAAACTTTGTCTTCTCCTAAACAATTCTCCTTACCGTAGAAAAAAAAATTCGGTGAAATGTCTTTTTCGCCGATAATGAGAGAATTGATAAAGAGAAATCGAGAAACTTCGTTCAAGAACGTCTCCGAAAGTTGTCAACAACTTACACGATTTCATTTGAAAATGGCGCCATTATATCAAAGAAATCGCTTCGAAGCCCTGAAGATAAACTAACCGCGCCTTTAAAAACTACAGTAGTTTGGTTTAAAGGGACATGGCTCGAAATGCAAAAAAAAAAGCTTCCGCTTCATGAGAAAAATTTGTTATTGTCGATATTTTTCGCAAAACTGTTGTTTTTCTCGATGTTTCCTCTAGACGCAGAGAAAAACCCCGCAAAGTACTATGATTGATCGTGATCGCAGTTCGTTGTTTTTCAGAAATACATGCGAACTGGCCTTTTCCGGATAACATCGGTGTGTTTCAAAGAGAAAATGGTAAAACCGAAAAAAGACGTAAGCCATCAACGACCAAGAAAGAAAATAAACTAAATGATTCTAGAAACTCGTCAGTAAATGCGTTCCGGCCGGCGATAAGAGTGGCGAGATTGATAAAAAAGCGCAGGAATCAGCGATTTTCGCGGACAGTGAAGGTCGCATCGGACTACGGATTCATGCGAAACCGGGCGCCAAGAAAAGTGGTGTTGTAGGTAAGAGGATTCTTGCAAGAGAATAAAAGAAGATAGATTAATGTTTACTACATTTTCTCAGCAATCAACGAGTCCGAAATCGATGTAGCAATTGGTGCGGCGCCACGCGAAGGAGCTGCTAATGAGGAGCTGGTTTCGTATTTGATGAGCGCGTTGGGCCTTCGGAAGAACGAATTACAGTTCGATAAGGTAAGAAAAGAAGTACAGTTGTTGTTCATTAAAGTGGTAGGAAGATGTTATCTACTGGAAACTAAAACAAGCGTAAATAAGGAGAAACCAGTGTCGGCTGCAGAACCTTTTATACAGAAACACCCTGTTCAAGCTATTCACGTGAAAAATAGCTGGCTGATTGAGGGAACTTGCAACGAACGATCAGCAGAATCTTTTCAGGGTGCAAAGTCGAGGAGTAAAGTGGTGCTGATAGAGACGAAACGGTTGAGCATGGAGGAGGTGCGAAGCAAGTTGCAGCAAGAAATTGGAAACTGATTTTTTTTGTATGTTTTATGTTGAATTTTGATGAATGTTCCTGTATATAAAGTGTGACAGTAAAACCGTCCTCTTTAAAAAATGTGAAGAAGAACCAGAAGATTGCACGTGGCAGTGAATCTGAAAGTGTCCAAAATCCATATTATGCCCATTTTGCGCAGTTTCTAAAACTCTTATCTGAGTTCTCGAAAACTTCGAAAACTCAAAAACATGATTTTGTAGCTATTCCTTTTTCAATTTGTTCACCTGTTATTGTATTTCCTATATTTAGAAGAACTTTATTTCCCACCCAAAATGTCTAGACACCCCCTTTTCCTTGTTTACCACTTCTCTTCTTATCTCTTACACCATTTCATCATCTCTTCTCATCCGCTTCAAGAATCCACGTGTTAATACATCCCTCGGTTTCTAAATAAGCCAGCCAGCCAGCACAAAATTAGTGTCTCTGATTCTCTAATTTCTCTTGTTTTTTCCTTTTTCCTCTGTCCACCTCTCTCCCAGACGCAACATCTCTCTTCATTATCAGTGATCACTGACAACACAAAATGAGAACTTCTTTCCGTCTTCTTCTCGCCAATTGTTGTTTCGTTTTCTGCATTCTGGTCTGTTCCTTGATCGTTCTGGAAGTTTTGTGAATTCTTTTTTGTAGACACCTATAGTTTCTGCTGACGCTGAACCAGAATTGTGTGATACGTATGAGATTGTGGAGCGAAAGTTTCATTGTGGGCCACATGGATACCTTCTGCATTATGGACTTCGAAATTGCCTAGTTTTCAATAATCAAAGTATTCAAAATTTTTCTTCTCTTTGAATTCAAAATATTATTTCAGGTATCTTGGATCAGTTCACTCCAAAGGGTCGAGAGTTCGTCGGTTGCTCAACTGGATGTCTCGTCAAAGCGATTCTCAATATTTCTGAAGTAAGACATAAAAACTTAGAAGTATATATTTTATTAATTCCTTCAGTTTTCTACAAGCTGTCTTCAAATACAAGAAGAAGCGTTCAAATCGCACGTCGACTGCTACCTGAACTGCAACTTTTGTGATGTTTGCAAAACAGAGAAGCTCGCTTTTCTGAAAAGTTATGATTGGTCAGACTTCCTGAGCTTCGCCGCCCTGCAACAAGTCTACGCAATTGTTCGAAAATGTGGAGTGTTTGGCTGTTTTAAAGTGTTCGATTTTTGATTTTTCTCCATTGATGTCGAAAAATTTATTTTGTTAATTTTGTGTATTGCTTCGGGTCTTTTTCTCTGGTTATAATAAATAGCGAAATTTTGATTCCCGAATTCGGTAAATACTAGAGATGTCCGGAATGACTTTTTTGAGAAACGGAATCCGGAATCCGGAATGAAATTAAATTTCCGGAATCCGGAATTTTGAGGTCTCCGATGGGTCGAAAAATTTTCAAAAACATATTTTGCTATATTTTTACATTTTTAATCGCGGAAGTTTGAAGAAGTCAAAGAATTCCTGCAGATTAACACATGTTCTGAAAAATCAGGAATAAAACATTTTCTCGTAATCCGGAATCCGTTATCCGGACGAATGATAATTTTCCGGAATCCGGACAGAAATATTTTTCACGGAATCCGGAATGAAAAAAAGAACGGAATCCGTAATACGGAATACGGAATCCGGAACCCGGACATCTCTGGTAAATACAGAAGAGTTAAGATTAAACCGGTGGAAATATAATGAATTTCGATTTACTTCTGACAATCCAAAAATGAGCTACAGTAAACACAAAATGAGCTACAGTAATCCAAAAATGAGCTACAGTAATCCAAAAAAAAGCTACAGTGATCCCAGAATGTGCTACAGTAATCCTGAAATGAGCTAGAGTAACCCAACAATGAGCTAAAGTAACCCCGAAACTACAGTAACCCAACAATGAGCTACAGAAATCCAAAAATGAGCTACGGTAAAAGTCAAATTTGTTTTTTTAGAACACTCCAGTATGGGGGTCCTATTTTTTGAATGCATCTTCTCGTTATTCTTCTTTTTCTCTTCCAATACAGTACGAATCTTTGAAAAAAAAGCCGGTTTATTATTTGACAGTTGATAATTATTATTTCACAGATGGAGAGAAAAAAACAAATGACATGATTACATGAGACATACAGTTAGAAATATGGAAATCGAAGAAGTGAGAGATAATTAGATTATATAGAAAAGTTAATCAGATGATGGAGCAGGAACAGTAGCAGCAAGGCATGGAGCACATTTGAAGCTAGTGGTGTAGTTCTTGTATCCTCCGTTGCTGCATCTGAAGTGGACCCATCCAGCACATCCAAAACATTGGCAAGTTCCGGCTCCAGCTGTTTTGGAGCATACTGTGCATATCAACTTCTGGGTGGTCTTCTTTGATTTTGGTTGTTTTCGTTTGGTGGCGGGTGTGGATGGTTGGGCAGAGACGAGAGCGGCAGGTTGATTGGCGGCGACTGGAACGGAAGAGGAGGATGGAACAAAGGTAACTTCTGGTGGAGCATTAGTGACTGGATCCACTGATTTTGACATCTTCTTCTCCGGAACAACATCGACTAAAGTCTTCTTTTTGATTGAAACATGGCGTGGCTTCTTCTCGACGACGGCTAGCACGACTAACTGCTTCACTTCAGTCAGAAAATTCGACAGAACCTGAAAAAAGGTAAACATGATTATTTTGTGAGAAACACTAATTAACCTTATTCGATTCATCTTCAATTTTGGCTTTCTTCACTGGATTTTCATCCTGTCCATTTCCAGTTCTAACTCTTTTCATTGGACCGGCCCTCTTTGCTTCCTGCTTCATTTTCTTCTCCTCTTTGTTCTTTTCCTTTTGAAGTCTTGCCAGTTGAGCAGCTTTTGCCTTTTGCGCCTTGATCTGGAGCATAGCCTTTTTCTCAGCCTGACGTCTAGCTTCCCATTCTTCTGCTTCAATCTGCCTGGTCGTCTTCACTCTCTCCCGTTTACCAGTAACTGGAAGAGCAGAACTGAGCACTCCGGCAGTCTTGCAGGCCTTGAGTCCTTTAAGTTCTCTGGCATTCTTCTTCACATGGAGACAATTATCCCAATTTGCAATAGCTCGAGCTCTGGAGAGATAGAGTGCTCCTGCGGCAGCGGAATGGTTTCTGGCGATGATGTAGTCGATGTTCATCAATGGATTTTGCTTGATGTCGTTATAAACCAAATCGAAGAATGTTGGACCAATAAAATCGGAAAAGGTTTCATCATCTTCTTCGACAACTTCCGTTTTGATTTCTTCTGTATTGATTAACAGCGTCTGAACTGGTTGATTCATCTTTTCGACTTTTCGCTCCTCCATTTCCTGTTTGATATCGTCCAATTTGACCGGCATGGTTCCATAAGATGCATCTTCTTCGATGATCTCCTTCTTTGGACTTTTCGCCAAAAAGTCAAAGTTGTAGAAGGATCTGACATTTGGAGGTGGAGCATCAGATTCTCCGATTATCTTCCGCCACTGTTGCGTCTCATATTCACCTCGAGCCTGCTCGGCAAGTTGATGAGTGGATGGCATGAGGATGTTTGAATGCAATGGGAGTTGAGATCTGAAAATTGGACAAAAAGGAACTAGAGAGAAAAAAGAATTATAGAAGGTAGAGGTGAACGGAAGAAGAGTAATTGAATGAATGAATCAGTCGAGTTCTGCATATTGACAACGTCTTTACCTTGCAACGCTCCGCCCCTTTCTTTCTTCCCGTGGGAAACCATCATTATATTACCAGGTGTATATCGCCTTAAACTTTTATAGTTACCAGATAGCCATTGTACAGTAACCCTCTGGGAAGTAGTTAGCCATATAGTGAATAATTATGTGGACAAGGTGAAGGAGCTAGAACAGGATGTACTAGCAGAATGGAACAAGACTATAGGAGTTATTGTGAGAAGTTAATCTTCAAAACGATTTAAACTAGTCAGAAAGTTGGATCAAAAACTGATCAAAGGAAAACTAAAAGTCTATAGCGGATACTGTCCACCAGATTCCCATATTGGATTATGATCACCTCAACCCAATGATCTAGAAATTGGAAAAAAGAAAAATATGCTCAAAACTCTGAATCGGGAGTTTCGGTCTATAAGACAGCTGTACTGTTTTCAATTTCGAAAGTTCAAATACACAACGCAAGTCGAATAAGGATTAGGAACGAATGAGAAAATTGGTAAAAATTCAAAACTGACGTTCTGGTATTTAAAGGTTGGGGGACATGAAAAAAATAATGTTCTCGAAATTCCGCTTAAGTATGCCCCTCGAGGAGTTGAACTTGTGGGGGCGAGGATTGAGGGCGCGGCGCCGCTACCGACTGAGCTACGCGGGCAAAGAGAAAACTGCAGCCCGATTGCATACATTGCATACAAAGGCGAGGACGACAGCTGTACGCAGAGTGACATTGAGCGTTGTACACTGTTACGGTAGAATGCATACTCTGGCCCCAAAAATCATCCGTAAAATCTCCTGTTCTCCCCACCTTTAAATATGACTACTCTAATCCAGTGAACAGGGATGTGAAAAGAGTAAGAAGTTTCGTGAAATCTTAAGCATTTCAAATTTTGGGTTCTGAGCGAAACGTTGAAACTAATCAGAAACTTCTTATCTTTGGAGTCAATTTGAATGTGAATTCTACAAGGAACAGTTAGGTTGGATACGAGAGAACTGGATGAGCGACTAAGGAGAGGTATTTATTAACCGGAAAGTAACTGAACTGACTATCTAGCAATATTCTTGGTCCACTGAATCGGCTCTTTCCGGGAAGAACGGTCCCAACGAATTGGGATAACGGTCCCATTGTTCCGATAACGGTCCCAATTTCTCGAGAACGGTCCCAACGTTCCGACAACGGTCCCAAGGGTATGACAACGGTCCCAACCAGGCTTAATCTGGAAATCCTATTTAAACAACGGAAATTGTAAATTTTGTTTCAACTAAGAAACACATTTCAGCAACAAAAACGAACAGTTTGCTGATGATTGAGAATACCAGTACTTTTTTACTGGAAATTTTCAGAGTATATTTGGTTTATTATTATAGGCTTAAGCTGAAATGACTTGTTCACAACAGTGCCGGAAAAGGCGTTTTGGCCTAAGCCTACAATACAAGAAAACGTGATACTTTGTGAAAAATTCCTGTCAAAAAGTACTGAAATTCCCAAGTATAAGTGAAATATTAAATTTTCCATTGGATTTTCAAAGACCATTCCGTTTTTTCTGTATTACGGGAATAGGGTTTCCAAATCAAGCCTGGTTGGGACCGTTGTCATACCCTTGGGACCGTTGGCGGAACGTTGGGACCGTTCTCGGAACAATGAGACCGTTGTCGCAATTCTTGGGAGCGGTGGTCCGATGATGGGACCGCCGGTCCCGTTTTGGGACCGTTCTTCCCGGAAAGAGCCACTGAATCTACTATGAAATCATGTACAGAAGCGCGGAGAGCTAATACAGTGTAAAAGCTTTCAGCATAATTCTATTAGTAGCTTCATAGATACAATTCCATGTGAAGGACGGAACATTGGGATGATCTAGGAGATAGAAAAAAGGGACTGAATGATGTTTCAATACCTGGATTTTTAAAATTATCTAGGAGATGCTAACATGAAAGAAGAAAGAAGAATGATAGAAGAACTAGAAAAACGGAAGAGGAGAAGACATAATGAATCTACCAAGAATGGATGACTGAATCGTGGATATTGACAGTGTCTTCCCTGACAATCGTCTTCTCGTGGGAAAAATTATTATATTAATAACTGCAGGTGATCTTAAGTTTTTTGTGACCTCAGTTTGTCATGTTACTCAAAAAGTGTACAGTAACCCGCTGGGAAAGAGTGAACCATATAGTAGGAAGAGTTGAAGGGATAATGTTGTTATTTCATTAATCGGGTTTCTCTTTTTCTTTTAAGTACAAGAAGGAGAAGAAAATGAAGCAGGAAGCAAAGAAGACCGGTCCTTCGAAAAGAGTTAGAATTGCTATTGGACAGGACGAAAATCCAGTGTAGAAACCCAAAATCAATCATGAATCCAATAAGATTTGTTAGCATTTCTCACAGTATAATTCTATTTCAATTTTTTCAGGTTCTGTCAGGCGTTTTGACTGAAAGGAAACCATCAGTCATCCCAGCCGTCGTCGAGAAGAAGACACGTCACATCGCTAACAAAAGAAAGACTCCAGTAGCTGTTGTTCCAGAGAAGAGTCCAGAATCAGTGGATCCAGGTAAAAATGCTCAATCAGATGTCACCGCTCCATCCTCCTCTTCCGTTCCAGTCGCCGTCAGCCAACCTTCCGCTCGAGATGCTTCCCAACCATCCACACCCACCACCAAAAGAAGACAAACAAAATCAAAGAAGACCACCCAGAAGTTGATATGCACAGTATGCTTCAAAACCGCTGGAGCAGGAACTTACCAATGTTATGGATGTGCTGGCTGGGTCCACTTCAGATGCAGCAACGGAGGATATAAAAACTACAACACCAGTTTCCGATGTGCTCCATGCCTTGCTGTTACTGTTCCTGCTCCATCATCTGATTAACTTTTCTCTGTAATCTAATTATCTCTCACTCCTTCGATTTTCTTTCTAACTGTATTTCTCATTTAATCGTGTCATTTGTTTTTTTCTCTCCATCTGTGAAATAATACTATCAACTGTCAAATAATAAATCCAGTTTTTTTTCAAAGCTTTGTACTGTTTTGAAGTAGAAAAAAGAAAAACTAAAAGATGAATAACACAGTATGCTTCATAAAAGAAGGACCCCATCTCCACGAGCGTTCAGAAAGAAAATACTTTAAATAACCAAATTCTTTGAAGCTTATAGTTAGAAATATTAGAAGTTTTCACTTTTTTTGATTTTCAGGTTTTCAAAATAATTTTTATAACTTTTTATTGCTTTCTGGAAGCTTTCAAATTTTAATGCAATTCTTGGTTTCGAATCTTCTGAAGAAAAAGTCGGAGGCTTCAAGATTGCCAAAATCCTCTTTCTCTATTTTCCATCTCACGAACGTCCTCCAAAATTTCCAATCTTTCACCCCTCACCATAAATTTCCTAAATCTCTTCCTCTTACCTAAATTCTTCTGACTCCATCTTCTTCACTATGAGCTCATAATTTGTCTTCTTAACTCTATTTCATTCTCTTTTCTTACGCGATGAGAAAACAACGGAGCGGAACCACCTCTTCTTCTTCTTTTCTTCTTTCTCTTTTCCGTTTTTCCTTTCTCGGAGCACTCTTCTTCTTCTTCTTCATCCCCCTTTAGGGCATCACACACGCCCAACTACTCGAGTTGTTTCCAAGGAGACCGGAGGCTCCATTTCAGAAAGAGAAAAAAAAGAAAAAGTAGGCTCTTCTTCTTTCTCTTCTTTCTTTTTTCTTCTTGTCAGAAAAGTTTTACTATTCTCCCTCTTTTTTGTCTTCTCATTTTGACTCATTCGTAGCTTGTTTTCTTCCTATTTCCTTCCCATGCAGGTGAAAAAAGACCAATATGAACATAAATTAAAAATGGGATGTCCTGAAAAAAATGTTCAAAGATTTCTGAACGTTGACTGAAAATTTCCAGGAGTCTAACAGTGTCAAAAACTATCAGACTTCAACGGTTAGGAGAATCAGTGAAACATGAACATATTAGAGCAAATACGGTACTTTAATTTGTGAAAAGCTACCGTATACGCCTTCTCAAAAAAATACATTTTCAGGGAGTTTGAGATCATAAATTTAACTGACGAATTCAAAAATACATGTAAATATCAATGCAAAACTTTTGGTTAAGCCAACCCAATAATTAACATGACCTTTGGAGTATAAAACCTTGAGTAGCCATGTAATTAGGACAAGCGAAATGTCACTCAACACACTTGTTTAGTTTCGAAAAATTTTTCTAAGAGCACATCACATTTGCTTGATCAGTTATTCACAAGCTCACACTTCTTTTCTTTCCCACTTTCTCTCATTAAACTTTGAGAAAATCTAAATTTCTAGAAAATGGTGACTAATGCGGAGTCTCTGGAACCTGTCAATCTGGAAGACGACGTCTTCAATCCGAGAGAGTGTACAGCCAAAGAAATCGATCAATGTGCCATTCAGCTCTACTCAAAGAAGTGTGAGCAGTATCATGAGGATCCGAAGGCTTTTGCAGCGTAAGTTGACAATTTGAATTTTCAGGATTTCAACAAAGCGTCTTCATTTCAGATTCCTTCTCAACATCCACGGAGAGTTGTCTGTAGTCTCATTTGCTTCCAGTTCCAACGAGAACACCGACAGAAAGAAATTGACGAAACCGAAAAACAAAGATCAACTGATGCATGTGAATCCACTGATTCTCGCTCGTCGTGGATTGCTGAGATACTTCATCAGTGAGATCAAGAAGTTGGAGGCAGGATCATCAGACGTAATGGAAAGGAACGATGAGGGAGAGATTCAGATGAAAGCCACGTGTCAGTTGTACATGTACTCAACGTTCTCCTACGTTTGTGAGTACGTCTACTGGGGAACTGAAGCTATGAAGGAGTGAGTTTTTGGGATGTTGGAGGGGAACAGATTCTGGTTCGGGATCTAAGATTCTGGTTCAGGCACGACACCAACCACTGCCTCATGAACAAAATTCGCCGCTGGGTGGCACTGGGGGTCCAGGGAGCGCTTCTCTCGAACATTCTGAATCCAGTCTACATTACGAAGTTCGTGATTGGATCCCAACCACCACTTCAGATCTATGATATTTGGGCCGTTTTGTTTTCCAAGCTGGAGTTCCAGGATCGAGAATGTCCACCCATGGAAATGATTCCAGTGAGTAAAGAGGAATGCTGGAATTTTTAAATTCTGAAACTTTGGAGTTGAAGAACTTCGAGCTTTTTTAATTTTTGGTAGTTCATGCTAACATCTAGACACTCTAGATTTGCAAAGATTTTGTGTCTTGTCTTTTTCTATTTTCTCTCCTCCAAGCCATCCATTTTTCTATTTTTGCAGAACCCCGAAAATTCAATCATAAAGACATCAGGATATTCGGAGCTAGAGAAATCCGCACATCCAAGTCTGTTGGTATCTGGAGATAAAAAGACGATGCGCAAAATGAGAAAGCACATCCGCAAAAACTTTGCAGTCTGTATAGACGAGCCGCAATTGTTAGCTATTTTGGTGAGTCATTTAAGACACGCCAACTATCGTATTCCCTCTAATAGAAGGTCACCTGATACGTGCACCTTGAGCTCAATTGTATCGGTTTTTATGAGAGATTTTAAAAATTTGTGAACTAATAAATTGCTTATCATAATATCACCAATATTTTATCAGTTGACAAATTTGTGATATCTCTCATAGGAGCCGAGATAGTTAAGCTCAAATTACACGGGCAAAGATGGCCTTACATTAGAGCAAATACGGTAGGTATTTTTCGACGATAGAAAATTAATCAAATTCGGAAAAATTGATATAAAGTAAGACTATTCAATTATCCAGAGAGCCTCTCCACCGCTCACCCAAGAGCACACATTCTTCTGGGTTGCTCATCTCAATCGAATGGATTTCATTGGCAAGAATGGGAAATTGGAATCCGAGACAACGGCCGCTTCGATCTGTAAACAGGAAATTTTCAAAGCCTACCTCCAATTGGACGCTGCCAACAAGAAGATTCTCAAGTACTCGAGAGCCAAGAAGGCAGCCGGACACTATCAGGCATTGAAGAAGATGCTCTACAAGCAGGTGAGCTCTCAAATAGGATCGGCTTGTGAATCGAAGAATTTTTCAGTGGGAGCTCGAGAAGAACGGAAAATGGCTCAACAGAAGCAGCAACAAGGTGGACAAGTTTTGGATCGAGTTGAAGAAAAACTAATGGGGTTTCGATGATTTTCTAACTCTTTTATTGTTCGGTCTACTGCTTTTCGTTTCGCTGGGACTCTGGAAATTCTGTGAAATCCCCGAACATCTAACCATCAAGAAAACTATTATAGTTTCTATCTTTCCTTTCCCCTTTTATGTGATCTATCTCCCCTTTCCTCTTCTCCCATATATATTTTGCACTGTGATTGAAAAACTAAAGAAAGCTTCTAATTTTCAATTGTTTTCAAGCCTTCAAGAGTCTACCCGAACTGAATCAAAAGTGCGTTCTGTTAACGCGATTTAATTAGTTTATTGTTGAGTAACTGGAAAAATTAGTAATCAAATCGAAGCTTCTATTCTCCACTACAGACAATAGCATTGATTGGCTCTTCTGAACGAATTTTGGTGACTTTTGCCTATACTATGATAAGGATAAGATTGACCCAGATTCAGTTTCAATTATTTTAAAAGTCAATATACGAAAAGTAGTTCATCATCAGAATTTACGAAACATCGTAGGAAATCTTTTCCTGGAAATTTAATGTAAAAAAGGCAAACATTCTTCATTAACTGCAATTTAAGCTCAATTATCTCATTTTTTTGAGAGATATAAAAGTCTGCACACTATACAAATATTGGGGATATTATGACAAGCTTTTTATAGTTGACAAAATTGTTATGTCTTCTATGGGAACCGAGATAATTGAGCTGAAAGTTGGAGCGTTGTAATAGAGCATCTACAGTAGCTGACCCAAAACTGGTCAAAAAATTTGGAACGCTTCACGAATTTGCGTGTCATCCTTGCGCAGGGGCCATGCTAATCTTCTCTGTATTGTTCCAATTTTAGTATATGTTCTCGGAAGAACAAATACATGAAACGCTGGGTTCACTTATACAGGGGTATCTGGGAGAGCAGCCGACATCTCACGACTTACGCTATTCACTAGTACAGCGGTTGGAGGAGGGTGTGCTCCTGGGAAGATTGGTTCTTGTAGTGTAACACAAACCGAGAAGACATTTATTCAGTACTTGAAGAAAAGAAAAATTGGAGTTCTGGAAACCTCCTCTGTAATTTTTTAAATTGCTGAAAACTCGAATTCAGAACTTTTTCCAGATTTGTCTGGTTCTATAGGTATTAAGTTCTCAGAACCGTTCGCGTACGGATAAGATAATGTCGCAGTATATAAGCACTTTTCAGGTTATGGATCTTTTGCTACAGTAATCCTTTACATTGTCTAATATTTTTTATCTACAGTAACCCGTCTTGTGCCACATACATTTCATGCAGAACGTGTGCTCTTCTCTTCTCGGTTCCCTCCTCCCTGGATCCTGTCTACGTGAACCTGACCTACTTCAGAGATTTCGCTTTTGCAACCACGTATCCAATCACCGAGCTTGGTGCCCAAGAACCACCAATATCAATCTGTGATTCATCGACATCCCGCACAACCATCATCATCTGCATCGTAGCTTTCTGAAGTGAGTCAACTCAGGATCTAGGCTGTCGAAAACAGGGCCGCGACTGATCCAGGCCGGCCGTCATTTCCGACAACCTCGCTAGAGTCCCGAATTTCAGAGAGCAAACATGTCACTAAAAAAAGAATCGCCGAGTTCTGTGACCATTCTACAAGCAATCATCTTCATTCAATTCGGTCTGAGCTTCTCGATCACTATCCTCACAACCATCGGAATTGCATTCGGGTATCCTGTAGCTTCACATTATCTGTTGGCTCTTCTTCAAGTGATCGTTGCCGTTCCTGGTATCGTCTACATTGCTCTTCAGAAGAATAGTAAGAGCTCTTCATCCATAGTCTTGTAGCGATCCTATTATCATTCTTGCAGTCTGGATCGCAGTGTACATCAGTTTCCAACTGGTGACTGCTTCGTGTGAGATCTACTGGTTGATCTACATGATTTTCGACAAACAGTCTGCCGGTGCCTGGCTTGTACTCGCTTGTCTAACTTTTGTGAATATCGTGGCAGTTGTGATTGCGATATGGTTCCGTCAGACTGTTCTCAAGGTTCCATGCAAGAAGAATAATAAGATCGGAGCAAAGGATTTGGATATGAAAAGTGAGAAACCGGATATGAAAGGTTTTTTGAATGAAGATTTAGAGAATCAAGTATTTATGAATTTCCAGTTCCGTCCACCTCAATGAGCGAAGTGGAGAAATCAAAAGGTGCTTCTTCCAAATCGAAATCGACCTCTTCGATCAAAAAGCCTCCATCTCGTTCCATGGAAAGATCGGATATGAGTGAGAAGTCATCGAAAGGAAGTCTGAAAGTTCGAAAAACCAAAAAAAACAGCTCTCCATCAATGCCATTGGATAGTCGTGAGACGACTTCTCTCTCCAGATCCTCTTCGAAAACCGCCGATTTCAGTGAGAAGTGATTCTCATACAGTCGTCTCAATCGTCTCAAAATTTTCATGCTCTTTTTTTCTGTGTTTTAAATGCCCATTTTTTTTGTTAATAAAGTTTTTTGTGGAAGTTTCTGAACATTTTTTATCGGTGCTCACATCCATCCAGCAAAACTTCAGTATTTTGATCTTTAGGAGCATACTCACCGACGGCCCGATTCCATACCGGGACGGGCCGTCTAATAACTTGCTTCAAAATTGAAATTGTGAGCGGAACAACATACCAAATGATAGAGTTCGGAGAGATACAACCTCCAATAAGAAACAACAATCATTTGAATCAATAACCGGATGCGGGCCGAGGAAAAACTCGTCGGTGGGGCTTGCTGGTCTAGACCATGATACCGCTTTTGAAGCCGGTCAATTCTTATTGAAGGTTGTGGTGCTTTCCGAACTCAATCATCTGGTATGTTGTTTTGTTCACAATTTCAACTTCATCGGCTTCATCGGCCTCTTGATACTTCGAAAAAGACCAAATATCAAAATAGCCCGAATGATACCATAAATGAACTTTGTATCAATCCGATCATGCCCTCTATTCTCGTCATCGAATAAGTTCTTGATTGTTAACCTTTTGTCACTGCTTCTACCCTTTTTTTCGAAGACACACAACGTCGACGTATTCTAACGGAAAGAGGAGATTCGTGTTAGCAGTAAGCAGTAGCGGTGGGTCAGGGCAATTTAAACGAATCAAAGTGAGAGAAAGATTGGCAGTTAATACATTCCTACTACCTGATGACGACAGAGAAGAAGTTGAAGAAGAAGGAGAAGAAGAAGAAGAAGACGTGACGATGGAGAAGAAGAGAGAATGAGAAGGATGAGGGGGCGTTGTTGAAAAAAGGTAGAAGACGCGCGAAAGAGTGAGGCCATTTTTGAGTCGAGAAACCAAGATGACCTGTATCATCTTTATATTTTTATCTATTCTGTGTTGGAGTGCTCTTGGAGCAAAAATAGCTCTATTCCCATCCACAGGATGTTTCAGCCACGATGTAATGATGAAACAGGTTCGCTTCTTTTTATTTCGAAAAGTTCTCTTATCTTATCAAACGGCATCAGAAGGAAATAGCCTTGATGGCAGATGTTTAGAATGTAATTGTTCAGTTTTCTAACTGAAAAAACTGCAGTTTTAACAGCTGACCAATTTAGCTGAACCGTTTCATTGGTGGTTTTTGAAATTTCCGTTTTGGTGTTTGGATGTTTCTTTCCAATGGGAACTTCAAAAAACGTTCCACTAATTTTCTGTTGTTTTCACGTCTTCAAGAGTCTACCCGAACTGAATCAAAAGTGTGTTCTGTTAACGCGATTTAATTAGTTTATTGTTGAGTGACTGGAAAAATTAGTAATCAAATCGAAGCTTCTATTTTCCACTATAGACAATAGGATTAATTGACTCTTCTGAACGAATTTTGGTGACCCTTACCTATACTATGATAAGGATAACATTTATTTATTTATTTATTTCAACGAAGGGGAGAAAACCACTAACACGTGAAATGTCTATGAAACTAGGAGATATAACAGGGACATACATTTGTAGTAATTAGGAGATGAAGGAAAAACCGAGTTAGTAAATAGTTGAATTCAAGACAAGAAAATGTTTTAGATCACAGGATAATAGTCGATTTTTGAAAGCCGCTGACGAGGGCTTCACCGGAAACACTTTGACGGGTAAAAAGTTCCAACATCTGATTACTCTATTAGAGAGAAATTGAGAAGATATTTTTGTTGAGTTTTTGATAAGTGATTTGAGATAGTATTTGTGACGTCGCAATGATCCAGCATGATTAAATATTTCGAAAATTGGAACCTCCATGATAATTTCTTTTGACCCAGATTCGGTTTCAATTATTTTAAAAGTCAATATACGAAAAGTAGTTCATCATCAGAATTTACGAAACATCGTAGGAAATCTTTTCCTGGAAATTTAATGTAAAAAAGGCAAACATTCTTCATTAACTGCAATTTAAGCTCAATTATCTCATTTTTTTGAGAGATATAAAAGTCTGCACACTATACAAATATTGGGGATATTATGACAAGCTTTTTATCAGTTGACAAAATTGTTATGTCTTCTATGGGAACCGAGATAATTGAGCTGAAAGTTGGAGCGTTGTAATAGAGCATCTACAGTAGCTGACCCAAAACTGGTCAAAAAATTTGGAACGCTTCACGAATTTGCGTGTCATCCTTGCGCAGGGGCCATGCTAATCTTCTCTGTATTGTTCCAATTTTAGTATATGTTCTCGGAAGAACAAATACCAAAAACGGGCGGTTCACTTATACAATGCGTTGCAAATTTATACGGCCACTCATGTTTTGGGTCATAACTTTTGAACCGTTTAAGTTATCAATTTAATTTTTTGAAAATCGGATTTGGGATGACAAGATACATTTATTTGTCAATTTTCGTAATGGAAACTAAAAAACTACCCGAGCTATCTAAAAAAATCTGAAAATATGACATTTGCAACCGTTGCAAATTTATACGGCCACTCCAAAGATCGGGTAGATCATGTCCTCCAGGAAAGACGGAGGGGTCTGATTTTGATTATTTATCATTAATAGCACTGTAAACAACTGTTTTCATTATGTATGTTTTTTTCTGTCACCTTGACATTATGCCCGTGGTCGTTTGCTGATTGATCAGATTTTTTCAGATGACTCGGGTAGTTTTTCAGTTTCCATTACGAAAATTGGTAAATAAATGTATCTTGTCATCCCAAATCCGAGTTTCAAAAAATTAGATTGATAACTTAAACGGTTCAAAAGTTATGACCCAAAACATGAGCGGCCGTATAAATTTGCAACGCAATGTATAGGGGTGTCGGGGAGAGCAGCTGACATTTCACGACTTACGCCATCCACTATACCTTGTACAGGGTGTGGACGAGGGAGTGCTCCTGGGAGGATTGGTTCTTGTTGTATAATAAAAAATGGATTCTGAATTTGTATATTGTATTAGCTGTTTGGAAAGAAATTACCCTGACTTGAACTATTAATTTTGTGCTTTAAAAAGACACTTACCGTAAAACCTGCGTCAAAAGAACTCGCCTAACTGTCAATTTTGAGCCAGTTTTTTCTCGCTTCATGTGAAATATAGTATAAATTGGTCAACTGAGGTAATATTTTTGAAGTTATGATAAAATTTTTGTCAGTTTACCACTTTTTGGTATCTTCTATAGGAAAGGATATAAATTGAGTCGAATTTGCAAGATACCGTGTACTAGGGAATGTGAAAAAATCGTTGGACCTAAAAACTTTTCTCCCAGAAATCCATTAAACCTGTATAATAACTAGCCCGTTTTCTCATTCCAGGTCGGCTCTCAACTCGACGAAAATGGCAACAACATCACATGGATTCAAACGTATCTTTACGATTTTGGATTCGGTGAAATTCCACTTCCAGACCATTGGAATCGAATGTCAATAGTCGGAATTGATGAGAGAGGTTAGCCGTTAGTCAGAAGGGTTTCCTTTGTGATTTGGGTTCTTTTATTTTTCTGATTTCTGGTTTAGACAGGGACGAAAAGTTTCCGGTGTGTAGATGATATATATTTAGTTTGGAAAGGGAAATTTTCGGAGAATTCTTTTGAGAGACAGAAAAAAAAACAGATTGCTTCCTTCCACTATCACCCAATTCTGATTTCACGGTCATTCGATCATTTTGCACGCGAATTTCAAAAATTGTTCATTCATGTCAACGTGTGGTATAGTAAAAAAAAGCGTACTTACTTATGACCCATAATTGTCTAATCGGTCACAAAAACTATTCTTATAGCCAACTACCTACAAGAGAACACAGGAAGATTGATATGGAGACAAAATGTACCATTTGATTTCGATCGCCCTTTCAATATACAAGGAATCAAGGACTTTGTGGTGTAAGGCTGAAGAAAGCGCGCTCCACTGAAAACGCCCATTTTCAGAATGTTGCAACGACATCAGGAGTATTGCACAGTTATGATGGACGATCCCAGATATCAACGTCTGAGAAATGAGAACGTATCGGTGGCGGTATTGGATCACTTCTTGCAGGTATTTTGATGATTGATCTGTTGGGAAATGGGTTTGTTGGGGGTGCGGTGATGACGTAGGATCAAAAAAACGAACTATAGAAATATATGTCTGACCCGAAACAATGTGATTTTTTGTTTTGCGAATGGAATAAGACGAATTGATTTTGGTCAGCGATCAAAAAGAAGTATGTACTATAGTCTAGAAATTGGAAAAAGATAGAAACCCATAGACGTAAAAAACTTTCCGATTAGGAATTGTCTGAGATCAAAAGATGAACGGATTTAACGTAAAACCTGTAATAGAAGGGTTTCCAAACTGTCAAGTCATACTTTATCTTGGCTGCTACGCAAGATATAAAAATGTGTCATTTGATAAAGACTTTTTGATATAGTGATTAACAGTTTATCAGTTGAAAACTGTTTGATATCTTTTACAGACTTTTACAAAAAGATAAGTCAGTTCAAATTTTAAAGCTAAGGACCTTCTGTTAAGTTTTTACGGTATGTACTTTTCAGGAATGCATGGGAGGTCTTGCCCATCTCCTCAACGCTTCCGTCATCCAATTCTCCAACTGGCCACTTTCAGACGGCTACGTAACATCTTTGAATCTTCCAGCATCACCAGCATCTGTTCCTAAAACTGGTATTATATTTTCCATTTTGAAATTTACTACTTGAGGTGTTTTTCAGGTACTCGTCTCTCAAGTAACACGATGAGTTTTCTTCAAAGATGCCAAAACGTACTATTTCATATTGCCATTATGGTTACTCGTTTCGTTCAAATGAACACACTTGATACAATGTTTGCCAAGAGAAATTATCCATGGGTATTTGCAAAAAAGGGTAATTTATTGAAACTGATTCTCCGATTTTTTTAGATCCAAGTTGAATTGAACGAAGCTCAACGTCCGATTTTCGCCAGTAGAGCTGAAATGATTTTCGAACCAATTCGTCCCATCAATAACCGAATCAAGTTCTTTGGAGCTGCATCTACCATGGCTCCAGAAAACTATATCAGCTCATCGGAACATTTCAACATTCACCCGTCCACTGTTTCCTTCACTGATCCTGTTATTTTAAGAAGTAATATTTCAAATATCTCCGCGGAATGTGCCACGTGTCATCGTCCACAAAATTCAAAACTTAGAAGACGTTCTTGGATGTTCAATATGGTTTCTGACCGTACCATTGTTCATCAGAGACAATTGGAAATGAGAGAAAAGTATCAAACGATTGATTGGGATCGAGTGCATTCTGAGAAGTTTGTATTAGTCACTTTTGGAAGTGTCGCTCAAGTGGATAAAATGCACTTTGAACTCCTGGAATCTCTTCTCGAAACTTTCTCAAAACAGCCTGGACTTATCATCTGGCAATCGAATTTATCAACAGAAGACATCAAGCGAATCCATAATCTAACTGTTCCTGACAACGTTATGGTTAGCTCTTGGGTCCCAATCAAAGAACTTTTGGCTCATGACAATATAGAATTCCTTATTTGTCATGGAGGAATCAATACTGTCAATGAATTGGGTCTTTTTGGTGTTCCAGTACTTGGTGTGCCTCTTCAAGGAGATCAAGCTTCGAATTTGGCAAGAGTTGTGGATTTGGGTGCAGCCGAGTTGATGACAATTATTGAGTTGAATGATGGGAAGTTGGATGAGATGATGGGCAAGATGAGACAGAATTTATCAAGGTATGGGGGAGGGTGGAGGAGGTTCATTGGTGAAAAGTTGTTACGAATTACCAAATATTTAAATTTTTGCGGATGTTTCTATAAAAAGTTCTTACTTTGAGCTTGTTTCCATAAAAAATTTCAGTTTAGGTCGTTTTTTGCACCAACAGCACTGTTCTTTCGATTGTAACTGTGTAATTTCAATTTATTAAGCTGAGACTTTGTGTTCTTCTTTATTCTTGTATTTTATTTTCAAATTCCGAATTTCCAGGTACTGGTCGCGAAGCGAGAAGCTAGCCAAGATGCTTGCACAACACCGCGAATTTCACGATGGATACCAGAAATTCTGGCTCAACTGGGTGGCCCGTCACGGGAAACAAAATGAAAACAAGCGATTCGTGAGATATGAATACTTGGGAGACATGGATAATCGTCTCTGGATGACTATCTTCGGTTCGATTTCTTTGATAATTTTTCTAGTTTCTTTCTAGATTTTTCTAGAGTTTCTGATTAACTGTTCATTCCAAATCACTTTCATATTTATGTCTTTTTTCTGGATCTTGATCTCAAAAAGTTTATTGGCTTTGCTTTATGATAGGATTTTGTTTCCAAAGTGAGAATAAATGAGGATAAAAATAACATGGAGAGTTTTTAGACAGCAGAGATTCAGATTCAGAAATTCAGATTCTTGAAAGGTTATATACAAACATTTGAGATCAATAGATCACAAGAAAATGTAAGTTAAGTTTCAATCTTGGTTGGTTGATGAATATCTGGAAGCACCGGAGCAATCAGAACTGGAATCGGTGATGGATGAGGCTCCAGAATATCTGCTGTGTCACTGATCACTTCCACGTCATCTTTTATTTCTTCTTTTATATGATGAACAATTGGATGGGGTGTTGGATGCTCGTCGGCTTGTTGAGGGATTGGAGATGGAAGTTGACTGGAGTTGACGGACATATGGGGCCCTGGAAAACGAATATTTTTGTGAGAAAAGATTGTTGTGTTCAAACCTTGGCCACCTTCCGTAGAAACGATTGAGTGAACTTCTGGATTCGCTATTTCGATTTTGACACTTGCCAGGGAGGATTCTTCTAGGATTCTGAATTGTTTTTTTAGCATACTGTTGTTTTGTTGTCCTTTTTGAGAAAACCCTTCCTCGCTATAAGAAATATCTCGAAAATTGTTACAGGCAAGTTCTGATTTCAAGCCTAAATTTTTCCCTAACCGGAGCCTCTCACGCCGGAAATCTTCTAATAGAATCCCAACTTATACGTATACTTCAACTCAATCATCTCGGTTCCTATGGGAGATGATGAGGATTCGTCTACTATCAAAATTCTGGTGATAATATGATACACATTTTGTTACACAGGTAAAATGCGAACGGGTCCGTTACGGACGCTTCGCGTTCGCGAATCACCTGTGTAGTTAACTGATTTTTGATATCTTTTAAAGGAACCGAGATAATTGAGCTCAAACTTGACAGTGCAGGGGAACTTTCTATTACAGCTTATACGGTATCGTACTATTAAATTAAAATAAATTTAAGGATATCGACATTTTGACAATTTTTATAGTTGCCCTCATCACTCTATATCACAATCACGAACCCATTCTGTGCCGGCACATTTTCCCCAACCACTGCTGTTGCCACCTCCCCGTTCGCCGCTGCATTTACCACCACAACTTCGTCATTTCTAAAAAAACAGCTGTTCGCCTTCTCTAATTTCAAAAACGAAAAAAAAATAATGGGAAAAAAGTCATGTGTAGGTAACACGAGAAGAGAAACGAAAAAAACAACGAACTTGAACCAGATTTCCTCCTCGTGCTTCGCGTGTTGATCATTATCCGTCCAGTAGATGTCGTCTGAAATTTTGAGAATCAGACATGTTTTCAAAATGTGAAGGAAGCATGAGACTCATACAATTTAATGATTGGGCAAAAGACAAGCACAATTTTTCAGTTCATTTTGAACTCAAAATAGAAAATATCAAACACGATTTGTCCTGTTTGTTCGGAAAATTCCAAAACTACAAAAATAGATGAACTGACAACCAGTCCGAAAAATATATTCAGATGAAATACAGTGCCGCAAAAAAGGTCATTTTTTAAACTTGGGGATCAGGATGAGCTATCGTAAAAGCTATGATAGAAACCTACTCTGTAAGTGCACTCAGTTCCTATGCAAGATATGAAAAGTGGTCAACTGATAAATTGTTTATCATAATTTCAGCAATAGTTTATTAGTTGACAGCATTTTGATATCTTTTATAGGGGACCAAGATAATTGAGCTCAAAGTGTTCAAAAAAATCATTTTCTCTTCATCGGTTATTTATTTCTTCCCCGTTTTTTCTATAAATCTCCAACTTCAACCCATCCCATTATCATTATCTTATCCGATCCCTTACTCTTATGCAATGAGTATTGCGTCTTGAAATGCTTAATGCAATCGTTGACTCTCGACTGGGCTTCCCTTCCACGAAACACAAGAATCATCAAGGCATCGTCTAGTTGCCTGCGTTTCTCGCCTTTCAACAGACCCGACTTCTGGAAACAAAGAAGAGTGGGTTAGTAGAATAAGAGAGATAGATATTTTTCAATTACATCTATCATTTCCTGAGTCGGTCGGAGTAGCTTCATGTGTACGGGAAGAAGGTGCCGATCTTCGAGGGCTGCCATCAGTTTGCCGGTTAGTGCACGTGTCAAGACGTTTTGTGTACACACGATGAACACCTAAAATGGAACATTTGTATGAAAAAACTTATCTGGAAAGAGCTAGAATTTGACTATTTATCGAATTGAAATATACCGTATTTCCTCTAATGGAAGGCCACCCAAACCGTCAATTTTGAGCCTATATAACTCGGTTCTTGTGAAAGATATCAAAAATGTGTCAACTGACAAAATGTTTTTGATATTATAACCAACATTTTTTCAGTTGGCAGATTTTCGTGATCTCTTATAGAAAATTAGATAATTGAGCTCAACGTTCATGCATCGGGTGAGTTTCTAATAGAGCAAACACGGTATGAATCGAAATCTAAACAGATCACTTCAGCTAAACTGGCAAAATCTTGAAAATCGTTATTTGTAGCATTGGGAACCAAAGTCTAAAATGTGCTCCATCATTTCTATTTTCAAATCTATTTCTGGCAAGACAATTTCTGATTTTTAATCCTTTGAATATATCTGCTAAATGTGCATCTCAGACCTTCCAATTGCCACTTTTCGTCTAATGGAATTTCACCGAAACCTCACTCCTCAATTAGAAAATAAAGTGCGCATTCTTGGACTTTGTTACAAAACATCTCGGTTCTTGAAAATAAAACCTGAGCAATAAATGAAGGATTCGCAGAGTGTTGGATAAAAATGGAGTAGATCTAGATTTTTAAAAAATTGACTCACATTTTTCAACTGCTGCCCAATAATTTCTTCACTGGAATCAGCGACTTGACCACTTCTCTTACAGCAACATATCGAACGAAACATCATCACAATTATTCGATCGCCACGGTCAATGCTCATGGAGCAGAAATGAACGGAAAATCTGCAATTTTATAGGATCCGAGGATTTTAGCTCTTTTTACGTAAGAGGCATAAGCTTATAAGCTTAAAGAGCATGGGAGGTATATTGACCTAGTTTTTGAGTTGGTACGGAAACATGCGAATGACATGAAAGAATGACAAGAATGAGCTGAAGAGTGTGGTGGACTCGAAAAGAGCAAAAGAGCCAAACGGAAATTGGAAAATTTTGGATAAATTTGGGGGAAAATGGGAGGGAGGGGATTAAGTTAGTTGGAGTGTTACACTCATGAGAACTACAGGAAATTGAAAATGGGAGGATTTTATGATTGAAAAGGATTGAAAAAGAAATAGATTTTCAGACTCTGTGAAATCCGCTGACGTGAGTGGTTTCTAGACAATGAGGTGAATGGATGGGGGAAAGGTTGATTTGAAAGGGTTTTCATTGGGTTTCCCTTTTTGTCGTCACCAAAAGATCCCGGTGATCAGAGATAAGACATTGGGGGAAAAATAGGGGAACGAGTAGCTTGAGGGCATGGTGAAAGAGAGACAGCAGAGAAATGTGTGAGAACTGCTGAAAATTTTCAAAACGGAACCTTGTAGAAATGTCCCGAAAATTGTAAAGGAAATCAACAAATATTTCAAAGAATTCAGAATTATCGAATTTCAGAATTTTAGATTTTTCGAATTATCGAAATTCAGAAATGTTGATTTTCAGAATTATCGAAAAATTTGAATTTTTATTATCAGAATTTCTGATTTAAAGAATATTTGAAATTGCGAATTTTTGCTTCTCAAAATTATCGAAATTCAGAAGTTCTGGTTTTCAAAAAATCGAAACTCAGAAATTTTGATTCTCAGAATTATAAAAGTAGAGAATTAATGTTTTTCAGAATTTTCGAAATTTTGAGTTTTCGATTTTCAGACATATCGAAATTCCGAATTGTTGGTTTTCAGAATGATAAAAATTCAGAATTTTTCATTTTCCGTATTATCGGAATTTAAAATGTTTGATTCTTTAGAATTGTCGAATTAAAATGTTTCAGAATTATCGAAATTCTGGCATTTCTAAATATAAAGTTGAACTTCGAATTCTGATTAAAAGTATTTTTTTAAATGAATGATTTTGAAAATGTTAATTTTGAAAATGCCTCAAAACGAACTTTCCGAAAATCATGTGCCTTCTCCTGGAGGAATTTTAATCCTTCAGCTGGGACTGGCACAGAGCCAAGAATTTCAAAAAACAACAACCCTTCTGAAATTAAAAATCTACGTAGTCAAGGTTTCTAGATTTTCTAGAACTTCAAAATAAAAACTCTAATAAAGAAAAGGACAAAAAGAAAATAGAAAAAAAAATTCAGCCATCACTATACAAATCGAGAGGGATCAATCTAGCTTATATACACACTCTTCAGGATTCAAACATCTACCGTAATAAAAAATTTTGTACACCGATTCTTGACGCAAGGAGAGAAGAAAATGACGGGAGGAGGAATAAGAGAGCATACCTACATATAGATGTCTCCTCCTCCTTCTTATTCCTCCTCTCCTCTTCTATATATTTTCTTCTAATTCATATTTACATCTGCTTGTTCCTCCGCCTTCTTCTCCCTATTCTCCTGGATGATGGTTTCCATAGCGCCGCCGGGAAAGAGACCAGATATAAAGTTGTGCAGGGCTTCTGGAGTGTGATAGATACACTACACTAATCCCCCTATTCTATTCAGGGTGGGCTCTCTGGATTAGGCTCATGATGTACAAAGTCTTTTTATTCAGGATGGATGTTTGTGAACAAACAAAAAGAAAATGTTTTGAGTTTTAAAATAAGAAAAAAGTTTTGATCCCCAAAAGTTTTGAAGATCAAATATTTAAAAAAGGAATTTGATTAGATTTAGTCAGATTCTCCGGCCATCAGCTCCCAGAACTCCTCGAACTCAATCTTTCCGGAACCGTCCTCGTCGATCTCGTCGACAGCCTCCTCGAGTTGTTGATCGGTGAGGTCGTCGGCGATTTCCTTGAGAAGAGCCTTCAGGGTTGGTCGGGAGATGTATCCGTTACCCTGTAAAAAAACTATGTTTAAAAAGTTAGAAATGAATTTTTCTGATTACCTCCTTGTCGAAAAGACGGAAGGCTTCACGAAGCTCTTTCTCCAGCGTTTCCTTATCGACAGTATTGGCAACAGTGTACACGAGAGCGCAGAACTCGTCAAACTCTAGCTTTCCGGAACCGTCGGCGTCGAATTTGCGGATCAGTTTGCGAAGGGTCTGGAAGACAGGGTATGAGGAAACGGAGGGAATTTGGTTCGGAGAGAAAGGAGCCCATTTCAAGCTAACTTCAGAATAATCTTCTATCAAATAAAATGATTTAAAATCAGAACCTAGCAGATGTATCTAATTGACAGGGTTACTGTAGCTATGAACTATTTGAGTCGCTCAGAAAAACACATTCCCCTAGATTTCTTCTCATCCATTAGCTCAACCACGTTGTAACAAAAACGGGGGTGTAGTGTTGACCCAGATGGCTCAGTTTTTCAGGGTGGAGCTGATTTTGCGATTTTATCAAATGAGGAACCGATTACAGCAGATTTGCAGACTCAGTTGACAGTCTAACTCAGGAGATGTCCCTATCGCGAATAGAACTTGGTTTTACGAAATAATCTAGAACCCCCTTATATTTAAAACTAGGTCGTCTTAAAAGTTATCTACAGGTTAACAATCAGATGCCAATTTGAACAATTCCTACTCGATTTTTCAAAATCGCTAGCTCTAGATTTAAGTATTCACTTCCCTAGAACCCAATCTCAATCTCAACAACCCAACTCACCTTCTCATCAAAATCCTGCTCCATTCCGTGCATGATCTGACCGATCTGAGTGGCCATGATGTATCCTTGCTTTCCTCTGTCGAAGGCATCGAAGAACTTTTGGTACTCTGAAATTGTTTCAAAGTTAGAAAATGAAAAATGAAAATGAAGAGCTTACCCTCGATTTGGGATCCGTCGATCTCAGCAAGAATCTCTTCGATATCCTCAGCCTACAAAAGGAAAATGATAAAGTTATGGAAAAAAAGAAAGAGGAGCTAAAGACGACTCACCATGTTGTCAGAGTTTGTTGTGCTCTGAAGACTCTGTCGAAGAGCCCTGATGGGAGGAGGAGTAGGCGGGTACCCGAGGGCGGAGACAAGAGGCCTCTTCTCTTTCTTTTTCTCCTTCGTCTTCTTTGACTTCTAAACACATTGTTACACAGTTTTCACGACGGCAGATGCTCCGAGACTGGCGAGGATTTGAGGAGAGATCATTGGGATAATGGAGACGCAGACTCTTGTGGGAGCTGACGATGATTTTTCTAGGGATAGATAGGAAGAGCAAGAGGAAAGAAATGATCAGAAGAGAGAAGGGAAGCAACCAAGGATCAGGAAGAGAGAGAGAGAGGGATCTTGGAAAAATGGGAAATGTTAAGGGAATGAAGAAAGGGTAGAAAAAATATTGGTGTAAAAATGAAGTACAAGACACCATATTGCCAGTTTGGGGTATTAATAATCAATTCGTCTGGAAGGTAAAATAATCTGGAAGTAGAGAAAAAGTATACATAAAACCAGTGTAATAATTTAGACTTCTTCGTGAAACGCGAAGCATATGTTGTGGTGGAAATATTGTGAACAAGTGGGGGTGTATAGGGAGAAGAAGAGGAAGAATGTTCCAGAAAATATGTGAACTTTTGTTGTTTTTTCTGTTGAAAACTGAATCTAATTGTGAGGGTTTTAACATCTCAAAAGGCTTTTGATTCTCGATTCTTCAATGGCGAAAAGTTATCCAGCATGGTCTCTTACAGAAGAAATATGAACTACAAATTTAATTACCATTAAAGCATTTTGTGCGACAAATCTGGAGAGACATTTCAGCTTTTTAATCTGATTGTGTAGAGACTCAAGATGATTCAAATTCATTTTTAAAAATTAATTAGTGATTTTAGTACCCAAAAAAAGAGAATTTTCCTGGTTTGTTACAGTAATCAGTGTCAGACGAATGGAACATTTATCCATAAAAAACGAAGAAAAACATTTTTAACTTTGAGCTTTTGAGTCATTGAGGCAAAGCATCGAACCAAATTGAGCCACTGATTTTTAAGCCAAGAAATGTTGACAACTGAAAGAGAAGTTCCATTTCTTCCGTAACAAACCTGGGAAGCTAGCATTTTTTGGAATTTTATCTGCTGGAAAAGGACAATACAAAGTTCCAAAACAACTAATTACTTTTAAAAAATTTATTTGAATCATCTTGATACTCAGCAAAATCAGATTAAAAAATGCTGAAATTTTGCTCCAGACCTGACACACCAAATTTATTCCTAATCGATTTGTTTTGTGTTTTTCCACTTGACAAAACTCTGACGAGAGGTGCTAATAAGACCGACCAACTAATCAACCTTAAAAGGAGTGATGGTTCTTGTGGGACAGGGTAGTAGAGTGTGTTCACCAGTCAAGGTCATCTACTCTCTACGTCTTCTGTGTCTGCATCTGCCACGTCATTTCCCTTCTTCTCTGACTCACCTTCTGTGTCAATCAATCGTGTTTCTCTGAAATCTTTTCAATATTTTCAGAACAACTGAAAAAGATTCTATCCAAATATCCGAGTTTGGTCCAAAAGGAGATACTCGACAACATAAAGTATATCGGTCTACTCCATCTTTCCTTTGTGTCAAAAAATATGAAGAAATTAATAAAATCATCCCAAAAGAAGAGGTTCGAAAGTATCAATTGATTATGAATATAATACATAGATTGGAAGGATCGTGTATGGTGTATATTATTGACGAAAGTAAATCTTTAAAGAAATATCATAAACGTTTATCTAGAACCGTCGACGACATGATAATGAGAATTGTGAAACGCAAAGAAAATAGACATGGTAATTTTCAGTTGAGCGTATCTGGAAAGTTAATTGATTTTAGGTAATTTGCAACTCGCAATGAATTACAATAATTATTCCAGTTTTTTTCGGTGAATACATATACCCCGTAGCATCCTATCTGGAATGCGACAAAAAATCTGTGATACAATCGATTCATAACCACTATTCTGTATTGGTTTGTATCTCGATGGTCATGTTTCGGACGTTAGACACTTTGAAAACTTTTTCTCTTTATCTCCTGTGGCGAAAACGATTCAATTGCACATGAAGACGAAAATGGAATTATTCAATCCGGAATCCAAATTTTATCATGCAGAATCTATTCATATAGATACACCCCAAATCAATGTTCCAGATTTTTTACGCCATTTTCAAGGAACACAGTTTTCTTTTAACTGTAATCGGTACGAAAAGACAAATTTGAAAGATTTAGTGAATAGATGGAAATCAGGAAAAGCGTTTCAAAATTTGGAATTCGCACAAATCAGAATTGTTCATGACAATTCTGATTGAACCGAATTGTGAATGGAATTTGGGCGAAATTCATTAATGCAAACAGACAGCAAACGTACACTGTGCGTTTTGGGTAAGTTTTTTTTGGATTAGTTTCGAAATGAACAATCAGTTTTCAGTTTCTGTTGGTGTTATAAAAACGACAAAATGTTTCCAATCACCAGCCATGCATACATCGTCAGAGAAACTGATAATCGTGTGGCATCTGTTATGGTTTCGATAAGAACGTTCTTGGTTGAAGTATGGGACAAAACAGAGGAAGAGTTTTTTGAAGATTGTTTCATAGGGACGACTTGACAGGGATTTTTAAACACCCCCAAATTCATTGTATTATCGATTATACATTCAAAACTTTTCTTGCATTAAATCTATCAAAAATGTATTAATCTTCAGAATCTGAAAGCTATTCAAAACTTACTATTTGTTTAAATCTTGTACTAACGTCATTGTCATTTTTTATTGTTTCAGTGTTTTCTCCCGCACCTGTCCATATTAAATTTATATGTATCAACCAAAGAAATCATGGAAGATTGCAATAAAAAATTATTAACTCAGCATTCTAAAACTTTACAGGAATAATGCGAATCCGACGCACTAGGAAAAACATGTTGTTTGGAAAATTTAACAGCATGTCTTGGAGTAATTCACAACCTTCATTCCTCCAGGCGTCCTTTCCGTTGGTCCTGATCGATTTGGTCTCTGTGTTTCCACTAACTCTGAGAAAGGAGCTAAGACCTAACCAACTAGTTCGCCTTTCATGGAGAGTTGGTCCCTGTGGGACAGAGTAGTAGGGTGTGTTCACCAGTCAAGGTCATCTACTCTCTACGTCTTCTGTATCTGCATCTGCCACGTCATGTCCCCTCTTTTCTGACTCACCTTCTGTTTCAATCAATCGATTTTCTTTACAATCTTTTTTAATAGTTTCAGGACACCTAAAAATGAATTTATCCAAATATCCGAATTTGGTGCAAAAGGAGATACTCGACAACATGAATCATATCGGTATACTTCTACTTTCCTTTGTCTCTAAAAACATGAGAAAATTGATAAAATCATCCCAAAAGAAGAGATTCGAAAGTATCAGATCAATTGAGTATAACTACAATAGAATGGATGGGAAAACAAATGTGTGTATTCGCGATGGACATAATTACAAATTTCCGCTCGGAGTCAACGACCTGCTATTGTCTATGTTCAAACACGATGGTTCCAAAAACTATTGTTTTCAGTTGAACGTATCTGGAAAGATAATTGGGTTTAAGTGAGTTACAACGAGCAATGGATTGTAAAATTATTATTGTTCCAGATTAACCGATTATCACAAATATCCTGTAGCATCATATCCGGAATGTGAAAAAGAATCCGTAATTCAATCGATTCATAACCACTTTCTGGATGTCTTTAGAAATTCGATGGAGTATTATTGGCAGGCACGATTATGGCACTGGCCTCAAGAGGCTTTTATTCCTTTTCTTCCAAAACTCAAAAACGTATCATTCTGTGTCGGTATGTATCTCGATGGGGATTTTGCGGACGTTAAAAACTTTGACAAGTTTTTCTCCTTGTCGCCTGTTTTGAAAACGATTCAATTGAGTGTGAATGCGAAAACGGAACCATTGAGTCCGGAATCGAAATTCTATGATACAGAATCTATTCATATACATACACCCCAATTCAACGGTCCGGATTATTTACGTCATTTCCGGGGAAAACACATTGGTTTGTACTGCAATAGATACGAGAAGTCAGATTTGATAGATCTTGTGAATAGATGGAAATCAGGAGAAGCGTTTCAAAATCTGGAATACTTATGGATTAGTGTTGTATGTTATGAAAACCGATTTCCGAACCGAATTCTGAATGAAATTGGAGCAAAATATATTAATGCAACCAAACAACCACCAACGCACACTGTGCTTCAACGGTAAGTTATTTTTTTGTTAATTAGCTTTGAAATAGACAGTAATTTTTACAGCTTTGATTGGAATAGAAAAAACGATACTACGGAGCCAATCAGAAGCCACGCATACGTCGTTAGAGAATCAGATAATCGTGCGGCATCTGTTCAGATTCAGGACGATTCTTTCAGCTTTGGAGTATGGGATAAAACAGAGGAAAAGTTTTTGAGAATGGTGGAATAGTTACGAATTGACTGGGTTTTCAAAACATCCTTTTTTAAATATTGTATGCTAATTGTATTCTATGTCGTTTTTTGTTTCTTCATTCTTCCACCAGTTTCATTTTATCACTACTAGATTTCTTTTCTTCTCTCCTATATTTTCCATGGAAATTTCCACCACCCTCTTCCTTTGAATACAATATTCTGTACCCCCATTTTCGACATTTTGTAAAAATTTTCTTTGAAAGCTCCTTACTAGGTTAATTTCAGTCCGCGTTGACTGATTCTTTTTTGATCGATAGCAAAACTCTCTGACTAACCGGTTACCAAAAATTGTCAAAAGGTGTACCGTTGAACCAAGATATCATTTACGAAAAAGATGAATATAAAAATTAAATTATTTAAGACGCATTCTCTGTGAGAATCGAAAATAGTGTTGTACAGAAAAATTCAAACTAGTTTTTATGCATTGATATTATATATCATGAGAGTTGGGACACTTTGTTGGGACACTTTTAAGATAAAAAATGTAAATTTGGCTCGGATCCACCAAGTACGGTCCAAACGGTGACCAACTTTGGCCAAAAGTTTGATTTTCGTTCCAATTTTGACAAAAATCACTGAAAATTTGTCGTCGTGAAAAATTTTAACATTAGCTGAAAAACTATATGGTCAGATTCAAAACCAGCAAAGTTACGCTAGAAAAAATGGGTTTGAGTTTGAATATCTGTCTTCGCGCGTTTCAGAATTGTCTTCGTGCGTAGAACATGTCTTGAACACTTCTGTATTTTTTTGAACGGGGTTTTTTTGTAACTTTTTGAAAATTCTAAAAAACCTGAAGCTTCTGAAAAATTTCAGTTTTCGAAAATCCAAATTCCAAAAATTTCGAATTTTTTAATTTGAATTTCTTTTTGAATTTTACTGAATTTCATAACTTCCTAGAAGTTTCAGAACTATCGATTTCAAGCGTTCAAAAACATGCGAATTTTGGAAATTTGCTCAGTTTTCAAATTTCATTTTTCCCTTTGTTGATTTTCTCAAATTCTAGTTTCTCAATTTGATATTTTGAAAAACTTGGCTCCTGGACGTTTTAGAACCCGACGTTTCAGAAAGACAACGTTTCAGAAATTGACATTTCAGAACCCGACGTTTCAGAAACCGACAGTTCAGAAACACGACGTTTCAGAAGCCAAAGTTTTAGAAAATTGAGTAAATGAGTATATTTAAACAAGTAATGCTTATTTAGAACTTTGGTTTTCATGGAAAAGAAACAAAAACTTGAAAAAATTCAGTCGAAAAGTACTGAAATTCCCATTTTTATGAATATTCAGGTTTTCGATTTTTTTTCCATAAAAACTACAGTTAAAAATGAGCAATACTTATTTGAATATACTCATTTACTCATGTTTTCAAAACTTTGGCTTCTGGAACGTCGTGTTTCTGACACCTCGGCTTCTGAACTGCCAACTTCTGAAACGTCGGGTGAAAAGTCCAGGAGCCAAAAACTAAAAGTTAATTTCTTAAATTTTGAATTTTCTAAGATTTCGAAAGTTCAATTTCTGAAAAATTCAAATTTTGGATCTTTTGGTTTCTATACTTTTTCCATTTTTCAGAAGTTCGAAGTACTAAATTTCAGAAGTTTCCGATTTTTCAAATTTCCCATTTTTTGGGATTCCAAAATAATCTAGATATTCAATATCCAATAAATTAATATTCAATAATACTCAGTAAATTCCAGAATTTTTAGAAATCATTTTTTGAAATTATTTTTTTAATTCTTCGAAAAAAGTGTTGAGTTTTGAAGAAATTAACACATTCTGATATAATTACGGTTTTTTCAGTGCCGCAATAATATCATGCAAAAATAACAACTTTATTAAGGGTCAACAGTTCAGTGAAATCTTTTTTTTCCAATTTTTAGTGCTTTCCAAAACAACAAGATTACTGAACTGCTAACCAACAAAAAGAAAAAAACAGATAATCAAAGGATTATTAATTGATCTTCTTATTTCCAACTGATCGAATTTCAATTTCTTCTTAAACGTTCCAGCCACTTCAGTTCAAGTTAAAATACTTTCAAAGCAACGATAATCTTCAGAGCTAAATAAAAGAGATTTTAACCCTTGCTAATCTAATACCAACTCAAAAATCTTGTTCATAGTTAGTGAGTATAGCCAGGAAGAAGCGACAACGCGATTTACCAGACTCTTTTGTCAATCCGACGCTTACTTCAAGTAAAAGTGTCAATACAACTGACGAACCAGGACTCAGCTCGTAACAAGGCACAAGAAATGTGACTTGCTGCGATAATGTACGCACATGAACATATTGTAAGTTGCATCGTACTAATTTGAAGAAATCGTCGAATCAACTGAGCCCTACAGTATACCTGCTGTTGTCTTCAACACATGCGCCTCCTACTCAAAAAGTATAAACTAGACCAAAGTAGTAATTAAATTAACACGAGTCCCTATTTAAAACTCAATCGACCCTTCGTCATCCAGAAGCTGATTATGGCCCACATCGATTAACTCGTTACCGTTCATTATCCTCATTTAAAATAATCGAAAAAGCCAGAAAAGTAGCAATCTTCACGGTGTTTTTTCCAGAACGTTTTTTGAAACGTTTTTTTGCGCATTTTTTAAAATGGAATCCAGGTCCAAAACCGTAAGACTCAGCAGTTCAATTTAAAGCTATCGCGTCGAGACTAACGATAACTTTACTACAGTATTCCTGTTAGCGTCCGAGCGCATTTACATTGCAAAAAAAGAAAAACGTTCCGAAAAAAACACCGTGAATCTTTAGAACTATGTCAGATAGATTTTAACCCTTGCTAATTTAATACCAACTTAAAAATCTTGTTCATAGTTAGTGAGTATAGCCAGGAAGAAGCGACAACGCGATTTACCAGACTCTTTTGTCAATCCGACGCTTACTTCAAGTAAAAGTGTCAATACAACTGACGAAAGAGGACTCAGCTCGTAACAAGGCACAAGAAATGTGACTTGTTGCGACAATGTACGCACATGAACATATTGTCAGTTGCATCGTACTCATTTGAAGCAATCATCGAATTGACTGAGCCCTACAGTATACCTGTTGATGTCTTCAACACATACTCAGCCTACTCAAAAAGTATAAACTAGAGCAAAAGTAGTAACTAAATTAACACGAGTCCCTATTGTTCTAAGTTAGGATGAAGCGGTAAAAATCTAATTGAGCTGGTTTAGTCGGCACCTAATCCTATAAACTCACAAACTGAACTTGTGTCTGGAACGATTTGCTCAACGGGTGCTGTCGGAAGTCGATTGAAATGCCAATAGGATTCTGAAGTAGAAGAAACATCGAGTGTGAGAAAAAATCGAGTTGGCGAGCCGCCAGTGTGGCCTACGTGGAAATAGGTCAGACAATTATTGAGCTCGAGGTCACACGTTTTTTCAAATAAAAATTTATTCTCCCGTGAAAAAAGCTTCAGAAATTCTGTATTCGGAGCGTACGCGTGATGACCTAAAAACACAAAAATTGAAAAAAAAGAAATTGACGAAAGCAAACAAAAGCGAAAAAAATCCGTCAAAAAACCATACGAAAATTCTAATCGCAATTAAAGAAAATAGAATAATTTTAGAATATTGTTTATTCAATAAAACGTGGGCGCGC